TTGTGACATTATGTTTTATGAACTTGCTGTGGTTCTTACTGTCCCCCTCCCCGCCAAAAAATAAATGGTTAAAACCAAAACAAAAAGCAAGAGGAAGGATGATTATTACAAAAATCAGGATAATGGTAGCTATTAGGACAGTGGTTCTCAACTGGAGGCAATTTTGGCACTCATGGAACATTTGGCAATGTCTGAAGACATTTTTCATTGTCATAGCTGGGGAGATGTTATTTCTGTCTAGTGGGTAGAGGCCAGAAATGCAACTAAACATACTACAGTACACACCATAACTATGCCCCTCCCTCCTCAAATTATTATTCATCCCAAACTGTCAATAGTTTAGGGGTTGAGAAACCCCATTCTAGGAAGAGGGGGCACAGGATTGCTGAATACTTCTTGATTCAGGCAGTGTTCTGTTTTCTAATCTAGGAAGTGCTGGCAGGGAGAGAGATTGCTTTATGACCAACTGTACTGACTTCAGATGCTCCTATATGTGATGATATTTGTCACAGTAAAAGAAATCTGAAAATTACCTGGGTCCCTTTCTGGTAGACTTACTTAAGTAATTTAAGACTTATTAAACCTGTAATGAAGGTTAACTAAAGAGTAACCTGATTTGAATATTAGGGAACACCTTCTACCTTAATGAGTATCTGGTGACGTATAATTGGCAGTCACTTTTCCTACACAGGTTCAGTGACCTGCCTGATTAGTGTGTCAGATAGTCTTGAGCTGACTTTGCAGGACGATAGTCATCGAGGCAGAAGCTTTTGAGTCTGGGGCTCTCTTTCTTCTTCAAGGGATCCACACATTCATCCTTGAAGAGGAAAATGAGCCAACTTCACACTTTGGTATTATAACTTTTCTCCTTCATGTACTGAATTAGAGAAAACTTTGTAACTTATTAGGTGATAGAATTATTCAGAAATTAGCAGCTTCAAGATTCCAAAAAGAAAGCCATGAGATTCATTTTTTTTTTTGTAGGTACTAAGGAAAGAAAGCTTTTTGAGCAAATTGCTTTTCAGATTTGACAGTGATAGCTAGTAAATTACCTTTTCTCTTTGATGGTATCATGATTAATTTTTTCTGAGAAATATCATTGTAGTTGCAAAAACTCTGGTTTGGGATAGAATCACTGTTCTATGTGCTAATTGCTGAGGCTAAGCACAGACAGGCCTTCGTGGTGTATTCCCAGAAATACAGTCAGCGAAACGACCCAGGGAACCCTGTATTATTTGTCAAGAAGGCAGAGAGTAAGGACTTCCAGGTGGTAGCCCTTTGTCCTCATGCAGCCCTGTCCACAGGTCCATCTGTGCAGGCTGATTCTTCTGTGCATAAGACAAGTAGAAGGCAGAGGGGAAGTAGTTCCACCTCGAGACCACTAGAGGGTGCCAGTAGCCTTGCAGCAGGCACAGAGCCGGTCAGAAACCAGGTGCTGGAATGCCTTTAGAATATTCCTTTAAGGGAAGACCTGGCCGAGGAATGGACCTGAAGAACTAATAGGTTATTTTTCTGCCATGTAATCCTTGGTAAATACAATATCTTCATTCAAGTGAGTTTTTGTTCATATTACACGTATTCAAGCTGAAAAGCAGATGGCCCAATAACCTCTTAACATTTTTCTACCATAATATTTTTACTTCCTTTAGACTGTTTACAAATTCACACAGTACGCAGAGATTTTTAACTAAGCAGAGATTCCATACCATCCTCTTCCTAGAATCCTGCAAAGATTCTAGACATAACCCTTATTTTCTGGTGGGGCATAAAACTCAGTATATCCTTCAAAATTTCATTTTTAGGAATAATTTTATTAATTAGTTCTCTCTACCAGACTGAACTTCGCTTATTTGGCAGACTGACTTCATGGCTTTAGGAAATGTTTGTTACTTCCCTCAGATAGTTTGTCCTTTGTGATTTTAAGGATTTCTGAAAATAAACTGGGATGCCGATCTCTTGTTAAGGACAGGGATCTTCAAGGGTTTTTTGTATACATTTTGAAAACCAGTATGTCCTGTCTCACATTTTTTAGAGCAACATCTGTAAGGTTTTTAATCATAGTTTTAGATAGTTGCAAAGAATATCATTTCTGGCCTATTGGGAAATATTGGCATTTTAAGACAAAACCCTTACATCAGTCTCAGATGTATCCAGTGGATGATAAATACTAGAGCTATTTGATATCCATTGTCACGTATTTAGAAATGCACCCAGCAAGCCCTTTGGTAGTTAGAACTATTATATTTCTTAATTCCCTTTTCTCTGAAACAGTGTTTCCATTGCATGTACCCCATAGCATTTTATGTTAAGATGTCTTTTTTTTGCTTAAACTTTTTAGAATTCATCATCCTATTCTATTTCAATGCCCAAAACACATGCATAGAAATTTTTGGTTTATTTCTAATGACCCCCAAGGTTTTAGGGGTGAATATTTTTTCTGTGGGTTGTCATATATCAGTAGATTACAATTAATAAAACTGGTAGGCATTATAAATTTTGATAAATAATTATTATAACAGTAAAATCTTTCTGGAAATGCATCTCTGGGTGAGATACATTGGTGTGGGGAGGGAGCTGGTCTTGCTGCTTTGACTAAAGGTTGCTTCCTAGTACTTTGGCCTGTGCCTTATTTATTCCTGGTAAGAGAAGAGTCACACCTCTCTTGAAAAGTGAGGGAGGAAGATGTGAGAGAAGTGGAGGAGGAGAGGCAGATTGCTGCATCCACTCAGAATCCGAGCAGCTTGGAGAAAGAATACATACGGACTAGTAGATAGAGGCCGATTCCCCTAAGATCTAGCTGTCTGTGCTCCATATACTGTGGGAAGTCTGTGTCCTTGGCAGAGGGAAAAGCTCCCCCGGTGATGCTTACTGTCCTCTGAAGTGCAGGAGCAGCTCTGTTGGGGATGCAGTGTAGTGGTAAGAATGTGGACTATCACTCATACCCACCTGGGTTTGGATCCCTTCAGAGTCTCCTCCTATGTGTGCCATATTTAATCCCTCTGGGCTTCAGTGTCTTTCTTTGAAGTTAATTTAATCATCATGGCTTCTACCCTGTAGGATGATTGTGAAGTGAACTACAAGAATGCATAGAAAGCTCTTAGTTCAGTGCCTTGTACTTCTTTATTAATAAGCTTTCAGTTGATAATAGCTATCATCTAAGCTCTGAACTTACTAAGTGACTTATGTTTGGAACACCAGAATTAAGAATATTATGAGCCTTAAGTGTTTGACCTCCAAAAGATGAGAAAAATTTACTTGTGGGATGTCTGAAAAAAAAAAAAAAAAAAAAAAAAACAACCCAAGCTCTTGAAAAGTGACTGCAGAAGAGAAGGTTTCAGGTTGGTGCTATAATTAACCCATGCCAGGCATTGTCTGAAACCTTAAAATATGTCTTTACATCCTTCGGATCCTTACTTTATATCCATATTGTTTGTGAAATCGCTAATTTCAGGATGCCTGGGTGGCTCAGCAGTTGGGTGCCAGCCTTTGGCTCAGGTTGTGATCCTGGGATCCAGGATTGGGCTCCCTGTGTGAGGAGCCTGCTTCTCCCTCTGCCTGTGTCTGTGCCTCTCTCTCTCAGTCCATGTCTCTCATGAATAAATAAATAAATAAGTCTTTAAAAAATTAAAAAAAAAAACCCACTAATTTCTGGAAAGGATTACAGCTAACTACCATAACATTCAGTGGGCATGTGCTGGTTTTGCCTGAGTATTAAGGTGAAAATTTCCTTTCCCCCCTTTCTCTAACTTTGTGTCTGTAGTTCTTTATGACATAACTTTGGGAAAATTCAGTCTCTTTCTCCCTATGATTATCTGTGTCTGCAGTGCTCTGCTGCCTGACCTTGACACATAGATAAGGGTGAGGGAATACGGGTAACTAGTTACTATCTTATAATTGACTCTAGATCTACTTGCTTTGCTATTTTAGGCAAGGGACTACTTTCTGGCTCACATTTTCTTCTTTTATTAAAGGAGTCAACACATGAATTTATTCCTCAGTAATTTGTTTTTGTTATTTTTGTCCTCAATGTGAGTCTCCAGTGAAATCTAGTGTTTGAGGCGATGGCTCAGTGCCAGCCAGCTCTGCTCCTTCACACTGCCTGATCTCTTAAAATTGTCACTTAACCTACCTTTATTCACCTTTTAAAAGACCTTTTGATTTCGAAACAAGTATAGATGGACAGGAAATTGCAAAAATAGTACTATAAAGAGTCCTGAGTACCATTCACCCACTTTTTCCCAGTGCTGACATCTCATATAACTAAAACATAACATCAAAACCAGGAAATTGACAGTTGTGTAGACTGTTAAGTATTTTTTTTTAGCCTTCATGCATATATGTGTGTGTATCTGTGTGTAGTTCTATGGAATTTATCATGTGTATAAAATCATGTAATCATCACCATGGTTAAGATACAGGATTGTTTTATTACCACGAAAGAGCTGCCTCACGCTGCCCCTTCATATTCACACTCATTTTCCACCCCTCCAACCCCAGCACTCCTCATCCCTGTCTGGCTCTATAGTTTCGTCATTTTGAGAATGTTATATAAATGGAACATACAGTGGGTAGATTGACCTTTGTCACAAAGCACGACTCCCTTGAGGTCCACCCCAAACCCTTTTTATTGTTGTGTAATGTTTCAGTTGAAGGATGCACCATAATTTGCTTAGCTATTCACCCATTGAGGGAATTCTGGGTAATTTCTAGTATTTTACTATGATAAAGATAAGGCTACTATGAACCTCGTGTGTAGGCTTTTGTGTAAACACAAGTTTTCATTTCTCTTCCTCGAGGATTTTACAAATTTCGTGTGAATGGTCATGCTTGATTCATAGTACACAGTTTAAGAATAATATTTCTAATCGTTTGATTGGAGTTCAGTAATAAATGACAGGACTCCTAAAGGTTTCATTTAAATAAGACCATGTCATTGTAAGAGAATAAATGAGAGTGGATTACATTGAGTCAGAGTTTAATACTTTTCATTCTTTTTTAAGATTCCTCAGACAACAAAGAGAAGAAAACTTTCAGCCTCGAAGAAAAGTCCAAAATCTCCAAAAACCGTGTTCATTATATGAAATTCACAAAAGGTAAAATTAAGCAGTTCTTTATTTGTTGTTGAAATCTGTGTTCATGGTAGGTTTCTTAAAGCATTTTTAGCTTTCACCAAATTTTTAGCCCCCCCCCCCTTTTTAAAGATTTTATTTATTCATGAGAGACACAGAGAGAGAGAGAGAGAGAAAGGTGCAGAGACACAGAGAGAGAAGCAGGCTCCATGCAGGGAGCCCGACATGGGACTCGATCCCGGGTCCCCAGGATCACGCCCTGAGCCAAAGGCGGCACTAAACCGCTGAGCTACCCGGGCTACCCCCTTTCTTTTTTTTTTTAAGATTTCATTATTCATGAGAGACAGAGAGAGAGGGGCAGAGACATAGGCAGAGGGAGAAGTAGGCTCCCCATGGGGAACCTGATGCAAGACTCTATCCCAGGACACTGGGATTACAACCTGAGCCAAACGCAGACATTCAACCACTGAGCCACCTAGGTGCTTCAACTTTCATATTTTACGTGCAAAATGGACAAGTAGGGATGGACTAACTGGTTTGATCTAAAGCAGTGCTAAAGTTTTAGCATCTATTGTGAATCACCTGGAGATCTAGTTAAAGTGGGGATTCATTAGCTCCGACGTGGGACCCCATATTTAGCTTTAGACTATATGCAAGTCCTCTGGCAAAGCTGGAAGCAGAAGTCAACCTGCTGTGTAAGGAGAACAGAGACTTTTTGTGGCTAGGTCAGAAAATCTTAATTCCATGCTCAACATCTTTAGTTATATTTTCTTGTTTTTGAGGAATCTCACTCCCAAGCTGACTCACATTATTCTACACCATTCCGGCATTGAATGGAGTGTTAACTTAGACATTCCATGGTCATTGCAAATTAGCTTTAGAAAATGTATTTGAAAACTGGGTAGCCAGTGAATCCTAATGTCCTCTATCAACACCTTCCCTCTCCCTTCCCAATATTGCAGCCAATTGCAAGTGCAGTTGTCCTGTGTAACCACGAGGTGGCAGTCTGGTATTAGTAAGAAACAATTTAACTTGAACTTCTCAGCTACCCCCCCCCCCATGTTTTCCTATAGAACAGTATTGTGTATTAAGTACACTTTCCAGGTAAAAGCCTATTTATCACATACTATACTTCAAGTATAAATATGAATGTAATCCTGTTGTGGTAATCTAGATACCATATGATGGCTCTTCTATGGGACACCCCCCCTTTTTTTTTTATAGATTTTATTTATTTATTCATGAGAGACACAGAGAGGCAAAGACATAGGCAGAGGGAGAAACAGGCTCCCTATAGGGAGCTCGATGTGGGACTTGATCCTGGAACTCCAGGATCACTCCCTGAGTTGAAGGCTCAACCACTAAGCCACCCAGGTACCCCCTGGATGTGCCTTTCTACCTCCATAAGCTGAGAAACACACATCCCTTTGCTTTAGTCTAGTTAGTATGATTGGGAATTCCCTGACTCCTAGAACTTGCCTGAGTAGCAGTGGGAGCTGGAATTCCCATTAGTCTGTTAATGGTGGTTCTTATTTGGGGTCAGAACCCCAAAAGATTGGTCTGGGTTTGGTTTAAGTGAGAACCCATGGCAGAGCTAAATGGAGTTGGGAGCTGAATAGCTTCAGAACATGTACAAGGAGAGATGGGCATTTTCTGTTTCCCTCTCCCAGCCGGTACGGTTTTTGTATGGATCTTCATGTTATCCTCTCTCCTTTCTCTCAGGCTAGGCCCTTCTTTGTTGTTTTCCTGTATGGTTTCTGATCAGGGTTTCTCTCTACTCCTGACCCTCTGCAGAACAGAAGACAGTTCCTGCTGGCTCCTCAGTCTTTCTGAGTACAGGCTAAATTGCCACTTTATAACCAGTCCTTAAATAATCCCTCTTTTTTCATTAGAATCTATAGGAAAAAAAGATATAGCAGAAAGATGCTGAGCCAATTAAACTAAAAGTGGCTTGTAACTTTTAGATGGTAGGGCATCCTTCTAAGCTTTCACCTTAGCAAATCCAGTTTCCCTTTAGTACCTAACTACATGCATGATTTCACCTGAAGCATTTGCTGCAGTTGGGATAAACCTCTGTAATCTACTTTAATCTAATGGATGCTGGGAGTATCTGCTTTCTATTTCTAGTTAAGCCACTCCCTTGCCAGGTGACCCTGTCAGCCTGTTTGGTGTGTTATGCCTTCACTTTCTCGGAATGAGGTTTGCTGATTTATTAGCTTTGCTTGGGGAGAAGGGGGGGCGTTGGTATACAGGGAAGAGGGTTCAAGATACATAGTCAGAAAGGAAGCAGAGGAGATTGAGTGGGAAAATAGAGGAAACGCAGATTGGGGAATGAATGGAAAAGGAGGCAGAAATCGAGGTACTGAAGAAAATAATTATTTGCTATTTTAACAAGCCATGGAGAAAGAATAGAGTTCTCTCATTTAAAGTCTTTCCTTGTACAGCAATTGTTCTGGATATGAATGAGAAACCTTAAGTTGTCTCTAAGGTGGATGATCTCAGATCACAGGGATCCTGGGTGCTGCATTACTCTCTCAGATCACTTCAGCGTTTACCTTCTTCCAGACTCTGCTTCTGTTATAACATGAGGAAAGATTTTTAAATCATTATTGGGTCCTAAAGTAGGTCCCGTTTTATGACTTCTCAGAAATGACCCATTTTATGGAACTTTTGGTTGTTCAGCATAATGGATGATAAGCACTTTTACCTGCCAGTAGGCTCCTAGTGAATGTAACTCATTCACTTCTTTGATGAGGATGATTTATACTGCAACTCGCATCCGTGGTCCAGAGACTAAAACATGGGAAGATGGTATTATACATAGCTTGGTGGGAAGAATGAAGACAAAAATTTGACTTTAGTGAGATTCCAGTAGCAAATAGCAATGTAAAATTTGCTACCGCCTACCTATCAGCTGTATCATTTTCATTCTGATACATATTTCTCTCTTGAGTCCCAAATTTATGATTTTAATTTAATGATGAAACAATTTATTATCTAATTCAAAAGTTCGTATCATTCATGTTTGTTTAAAAAGCCTAAACTTGCATGCAGTTTCTTTTAATTCGAAAAATGTTTGTCAGGGCCCTGTCTTCTCCTTAGGGAGAGGAAAAGATCAAATTCTACAAAACCGTTTTTAAAGGTTTTTTTTTTTTTTAATTTTTATTTATTTTATGATAGTCACAGAGAGAGAGAGAGAGGCAGAGACATAGGCAGAGGGAGAAGCAGGCTCCATGCACCGGGAGCCCGACGTGGGATTCGATCCGGGGTCTCCAGAATCGCGCCCTGGGCCAAAGGCAGGCGCCAAACCGCTGCGCCACCCAGGGATCCCGTTTTTAAAGGTTTTAATAAATAGTGCAAAGTTATCAAGAGAGCATTGCTCTCTACCTCCTGACAGTTGTATGGTGGGTGGAAGAAAGGGGCAGGAACTGTGGTTGCGCAGCTTCATCCTGGTGATTGTACTCAGACTTCTTACTCTTGTGACCATTGGCAATATTTGCTTCTTAAACACAGAACCTGCCTGGACAGCACATGACCTGGTGGCTGGCTCGCTGGCCTGGACACACAGACTGTAGTACTCCTAGCTTGCTTCCTCCCCATGGCCTCTGCTAGTGATGGGTGTAGCTTTTCCTCTTGGGATTCTTTTGCCGTTTAAATCTAAAATAGCACCACTGCAGGCAGTGAAAAAATTCTGGCTGTTCTGTTGGTTGTAAGGGTCTCGCTTATTTCACCCCCCTACTCCAGATTCCTTCAGCTTGCCTGGTGTTCTGACGTCACCCTTTCAGTGCTACCGCCATAATCTTCTGACCTGGGCTTATTATTGGTCCCATGTATTTTCCTTAAAAACAGAACTCAACCTAAAAAAAAAAAAACAGAACTCAAAATATAGCATATGTTGTATCATTCTTGACTGGGGAATGCAAATGAATTTTCCAAGCAAGTGAAGCTACCTACAAATACCTAAAGTGTTGTTTTTATTTTAACAAATGTATGTATTTCTCCCACCTGTATTTCCTGGACCTCACCCATTACCCTGAGTAGAAAACTCAAGTTTCTTTGTCCCCCCCCCCCCCAGGCTTTGTTCTAATATGGTACTGTAGTACTGTGTTTTTCTAGAACGTTTTGGGTTCTATATGAGTTTTGCCCTTAAAGTACGAGGTTCCAAATCTCTGTGCTGCTGCTGCTGCTGCTGCTGCTTCTTCTTCTTCTTCTTCATTTTTTTTAAATCTCTGTGCTTCTTAAGTCCTTATATTTTTTTTGTAGTTTCATTTGCTTCCCATGTGAACCTCTTGGTGTCATAGATGTATCTGGCTGTAGCGGTACCATCTCCCCTTCCTTTGCCATTTTGATGGACTGGAAAACCTCATCATGACTATTAGAAACACAGCTAAAAAAGATCCATCAAGAACTCTTCTGTGAAAGCACCGCTCATCCTTTTATGGACTTGGTGACATCAGCTTGGCCACTGGAAGCATTTTTTCCTAGTTCTCAAAATGTTATCGCCAATTAAAGACTAGCAGATAGATGAACCAAATCCAGACAGATAACATGTAATTCCTATTGTGTTCTGTTTTTGATTGTCATTCTCTTTAACATCTAAGTTTATCAGCAGTATTTTCTGGGAGTTGACCTTAATTCAGAACTGAGACCAATAAGCTTTCAAACTCAGTTTTAGTATATTAATATTTATTCAAAAGTGGCCATAATTTTATAACATTTATAAACTATTCAACGGGTACCATTAACTAATAACTGTTTCAGTATCACTTCTATCTTCAGATTTTGTTTTTTTGTCTTTTTTTTTTTATCTTCAGATTTTGATCTTTAAGTTTCTTTCCATTGGTCTCTGACTCTTAATTCTTCTCTGTGTTTTGTTTTCCAGATCAAATCCAGAGCAAGGCCTGTAGGAATCCTGGTTTCTACACTTACTTAAGTGAACTTTGCTAAAGGATAAATATTTCTGATGCAGGAACCTCTCACCAAAACCTTAGAAACCTTGCACCTTCATTGGTACAGCTTACCATCTCCCCCAGCTTGGCAGTTTGCCCTATGTTCAGATTTGTTTTCAATCTCTGCACATTCATGGTGTGACATCCTGTTCTAGAATTGTGATTTTGCATGTACCCTCCCTTCCTCAGTCCCTCTAACATTCCTTTTAATTGAATTGCTTTAAAAGAAATCTTAATTTGAGTCTGTTTTAGGTATCTGTTCCATTCCAGAAGGTAGGTTAGGGAAAGATGGCCGATACATATTTTGAACTAAGTATAGCTCCTTTTTCTGAAATAGAAATTGCCACCCTGAATGTGCTTAGCAGTGCAAAATGGGTTATGCCGATGACAAAGCTCAGAATAGATCTCTAGACCTCCTGGGGATTTGTCCCCTTCTCCCCACCATGACCAATTTTATTCCCCACTTTCTGATTCATTTTCTGTGCTCCTATCTGGGATATGTTTCTTTTTGTTCTTAAGGAGGTTTCCTTTGGAGTCTTTTGTCTGGGTCTGCTTAATAATCAGAACCAGGAAGGCTTTGTTTCTAGCTCAGGGAGAAAGGAATAGCACAGAGCCCCCAGAGGAGCCTATCCTTCCTGATAGGAACAGGTTGTACTGACTGGACCATTGAATCTAGTACTGCTGCCTATGAAACTGGTTATGGCGCCTGGCTTTGCATTAAATCGAAGGGTGTTTTGTTTTTTAATTTCATGGAGTCACTGAGCAATATCATATTTGAATGCCCCAGTGATAGTCAGTGAACTGGAACCTTCTGGGTCATGCCATTACTTTGCCAAGTCCGTTTGCTACAGGAAACTAGGAAGACAAGTGAGTCTGTGACATTGGAACTCAGGCTTCCTACTCAGAACACAAATTCCTGTGTCTGACCCAGAGTCTCACTCCCCCAGAGCCTCAAGAATTTACATGTAGCAGTTACATTTTAAAATGCATTTACCACGTAGTTGACAAATGGGAATAGATTTGGTTGACTGCTCACAGTGTATTATTGGTAGAAGAGGAAATTCCAAAGAAGTGAATTTTAAATTAGTTGGTTTGTGGGTTTTGAAATTAAGTGAAAGAGTTTAGTGTTTTTAATAAGAATCATAGATCCTTTGGACAGTGCTTTGCCAGAAGCCATTTAATTTCCTGCTCTTATTATGTATCCTTTTACTTAAAGATGATAGAGCTATAATGGTAAAGAACGTTTTAAAGAGAAAAATCTGAAATCCTTTCACCCTTCTATAGTCATTTTTATTTGCATTTATTCTTCTAAAATTTTCATTCATTCAGTTAGTTATTAAGTTTCTATGTTAAAAATACAGTGTGCCCTCATTCCTGTGTGTTTAAAAGCTATGTAACTAGCATTGTTTTTATTCTGCGTTTCATAATCTTAAGTAACTCATGTCTCTTTATAAATAGTATCTGTTTATAAATGGGGAATCTGGAGACCCAGAAGTCATACCTTAAAGGCATACCAGTGGTAGAGTTACCTTTAAAATCCAGGTTTCTTATGCTACGTGCTCTTGATTGTTTCTGTAATTAGGAGAACGTCAGGGGTTCTGGTTCTAAAATACTTACCTGAGTTTTAAATTTAATTTTATTTGTTAATTAAGGTGTTGTAGTCTGCAAAGCGGAGGCAGAATATCAGTAGTTTACAAAATTGTTTCTTTTCCAAAACCCATTTTGCTTTCAGGATTGTCCTAGTTTATATTTATGCTCCTTATTTTAGGAAGAATGGCATTACTGAAAGGCGCCATGTTGTTTTTCTAGGGAAGGATCTATCATGTCGGAGCAAAACAGATCTTGACTGCATTTTTGGAAAAAGACAGAGTAAGAAGACTCCTGAGGTATTAAGCCACATATATTTGATATATGTTCTGTTTCAACACTGCTTGACTTTCTGTGTGTAGAACTATTTATATGTTACCGGTAGTACTTTTTAGATAAACTTACCAAAAAACACTTTGAGAGGCTTCATATAGAAGCTAAATGTGATCCTCTCAATAATAATAGTTGGAAGTTAATATATTATACAAGAATTCTGAGAAAGGATATGGTTACCTGCTTTTTCCCTTGTGTGAGGACTAGAATAAACTTGGGGAGGAATGTCTTTGCTGGTTTATTCAAAGGGGAAAATGTCTCTCTATTCCAGGAGAGAGGGGTGGTTGCATGTAGCGGTTTTGTTTGCTATGCTTGGACTATTGTATAGTCTGTATAACTATTTGGGATATGGCTTGGGGAGGAACAATATCATGTATGTACTCCTGTTCTGGTCTGTTCTCTTTTAAAAGCAATTTGAAAGTGTTAGGTTGGATATCAAAATAGAAGTTTTGAAATACAGGTTTCTGGAGATAAAGGGATAAAACTTTAAAATTGATGTTGTCTCCAAAAATCTGCCATTATGGTTGCTATAGCTATTACTCAACTAATCTGATATGTCCTACTTACAGTTTCTTTATTGGCTCCTAGCCAAGGCCCTGGGTGACTGTAGAACAAAAAAAAAAAAAAAAAAAAAGACTTGTGTCATTTATTTCTGATTTTCTCTAGACCGACAGGAATTTTTCAGGACAGTAGCTATTTGTTACTTAATATTATTTTCAAAGACTCTAGTTATTAGAAATCGTGCTCGGTGATTTCCTCTGTGGGTTGGGACTAAATTCCATCTTTCAGCACTTTTTCTGCCTCTACACCTTTAGCGGTTGAGGACTGAAGAGGCAGGCCTGGGCCCCATTGGCTCGCTCAGGGGCGGTGTCTGTAAGTCTCTGCTGAGTCATGTCAAAGGCAGGTGGGTCATTAGGGAGGAGGTGTTCTGACATCAGGCCACACTGGATGCTTCATTCACTGAGAAGCTGATGGAAAGAACTAAGGATCATCAGACAGTTCTGCTTCTGGTCACACCTCTGCCCTTCAGTGGTTACTGTGTGACCTGGATTGGATAGGGCCCTTTGCCTTGTTCACTCAAGACTTTGTGTCAGTCTTATATGAGGCTTCCTCTTGAATCATTCTACTTTGGTCTTCCTCAGTAATTTCAGTATCCTCAAGGGTGTTCTAGCACCTTTGCCCTGCCCTAACAATCCCCTCCCGTGGTCCCTACACCTTATACCTTTGCATCAGCCCATGGCCCACCCTGGATCTCTTATGATAACCTTTCTGTTCCAGGTCTCTCAGTCTTGGATTCGCACTATGCTGGCATTTCCAAATCCTTGCATTCTTGGATTATTTGACCTTCTTTTTCCTCCCTGCTGTCAGCCCCTCTGCCTGCAACCCTGGTCTCTTTTAGCACTCTCTTTGAAATTTTACAGTTGAACAGATCAGGGAAGGGTATTATAGATGGACTTTAAGTAGAACTTTAAAAGAACTTATGTGAAAAAAAATAAATAAAAAAATAAAAGAACTTATGTGGGTAAGCACAGGAAAGCTTTTTCTTATAGGAGATTAGAGGTTTCTAATCCTCTGACAGATGTCTGTCAGTAAGTCCTGATGTTAGGTACCGTGAGGTTTTTCAGTACTATCGAGCATTTCTTGGCTTTTTTGTGATGTAGTCATTCATCACCTTGTTGATGTGAGCCTGTATTTGAGGAGCTTCGGAAACAATTCCCTGGTACTAGCCTAGGGAAAAATCTATTACGGGCAATTGATATGGAGGAGACCAGCCTTGATATAATACTGTGTTTTGTGTAGCATTTATATCCAGGTACTTCTTAATCTCTCATTTCAGCTTAAGACTTTCCTCTTGTTGCATTGAAAATCCTGATTGTTTGGTGAGGCAGTTTTATATCAAGGTGCAGTGCTTGGTCTGCCTGTAGAGTGTAACAGGACTTACACTCAGTTCACTGAGGAACTTTAAAAAAATGCTAATGCCAGGGTGCCACCCCAGACCAGTTAAATCCAAATTTGGGGTTAGAGCCCAGGAATAAGTATCAGAAGAAGAAAAACAGTTATTAATTTAAAATAAAACCTACCCAGACAACTCGAGTGATACTATCAAGTAAGGATTGGTATGTAACACTTGGGAGAGCTCCTGGCTTTCATGTTATGAATATTGCCTAGGACAGGGCTTCTGGAATCTTAATATGTACACAGACCATCTGGGAATTGTATTAAACTGCAGATTCCAGTTCTTGAGGGTGGGTTGGGGCCCAAAGGTCTGCATTTCTGAGAAGCTCCCAGGTGATGTTGATGCTACTGGTTACACTGTTGCGTGTACCACATGAATGGACAAAGCCTCTGTGATGTTTTACATTTAGCACATATCTATAGGCATATGTAAGATGGAGTGTCTTTAATCACATTTTAAGATGCCAACTAAAAAGTATTTCTGTAAAGCACATTCACTTTTTTTTAGTTTTTATTTAATTCTAGTTAGCACACGTGTAACATTAGTTTCAAGTATACAATATAGTGATTCGGCACTTCCATACAACACCCAGTGCTCATCACAAGGGCCCTCCCTAGCCCTATTTTATCCATCCCTCCACCCACCTCCTCTCTGGTGACCATCAGTTTGTTCTGTATAGTTGAGAGTCAGTTTCTTGGTTTACCTCTCTGTGTAGTTTAAGTTTTAGATACGTTTGGATTTTCATATGGAGTTGGCTCTCTTGAGGCACACCCGTACCTTCCTTGAATAAACTGTTGCTATGAAACCTTACCATGTTAGTTACAACAGTTCTTACAGCCAAGGGCAGGAGGCCTTTGATCAGATTTGTTTGAAAAAAACACCTCTTCTGGCTCCTGTTTGTAGTTGGAAGGAGTATCACTTTGTGTTTACTCCCTTGACCCCCATAGCAACATTGGCCTAGAATTTATATTTGGCATTGCCAAGGTAAAGGTGCTGCTGGAGGTCAAATACCTAAAGAATCCTAGACACTGTGGCACTATTGATTGTTAACACAATAATCCTTTGTGGGTGCTCTGGATAAGGAGCTGATACTGATCTTGTCTTTGCATCTCGATTTAAAGAACCTTGGGCATTGACCACATCTGGCTTGGGCAACATCCTATCTCTCACGTTAAGCCAAACTTACTGATACCTGTAATTCCTGATAGGTGTAATGATAGAAAAGAAACTACAACCTTATGATGCATCTGTGTGCCAATCACTTGCTATCCACTTATGATAGTGTTTCATTTATCCCCAAAACAGTCCTATGAAATAGGCATTATTGTCACCTTTTTAGCAATGAGGAAACCAATGTTCAGAAGGACTTGTTATGAAGGTCCAAGGTGGCATAAACAGGATTTAAATCCAGGTGCCTCTGACTCTAGAGTCATTGTCCTTTCTCCTCTACCCCAAAGTTAGTTAACTTTCCTGCCCCCCCCCCAGAATCTATGTTTAAATGATTTTAGTTATGCCTTAGAAGCTTTCTTTGAGATTTTTGTCAAAGGCATAAGTCATTAATACTTTATCATCATTTTGTGGGAAACTGGTTGGCTGTTACTCTCATATTGCTGAAAATAGTGGTTCAGCTTTCAAAACATCGCTACCTTTCTGATGGGTTCAGAAGCATATTACAAATGCCTGGTCCAGCTTTGGAAACAATTATACTTTGCTGTTGGAACTGAATTAAGAGAGCTGGCTTGAGTTTCTAGAGCATAGATGTTATGTTACTTGTGCATTTTCTGGTCTCATGACTTGAAGGATCTGAATACATTTATATCCAAGAAACAGCTGTAGCCCTTGATTTTTTTTTTCTCCTGTTTTTTTGCTTTAAAACTTTTAATTTTGGAGTAATTACAGATGGACAGGAAGTTGCAAGAAAGTTCGGAGGGGTTTTTGTACCCTTCATCCAGTTATCCCAGGGGTTACGTCTTACATAACTATAGCACAAAGTAAAAACCAGAAAATTGAAATTGGTGTGTGTAGTTCTGTGTCACTTTATCACATAAATAGATCCTGTAACCACTGTCTCAGTTAATTACAGAACTATTCCCTAACTGCAAAGATCTTCCTCAGACTACTCCCAGTCACCCCCTCCCCTGCACCATCCATAACTTCTGCAGCCACTACTGTCAACAAAATTATCTAATTCAAAATTGAATATTGTATGTATGAACCACATAATCTCTCACAATTATATGATGAGTCTTCTCACATCAGTAATGATCAATACCCAGGTTTTAAGGGCTGAGCATAGTTTCTATGATCTTCCTTGGGCACTTAGGCCGGTTAGATTTTATGTCTTCTGCTGGATTTTATGTCTTCTATCTTACATATCTTTAGAAAATGCCTTGTAGAAATCAGATTGTTTGATGTCTTTAAAGTCCAAAATGTATCGGAAGCCTGAGTGGCTCAAATGGTTGAGCATCTGCCTTCGGCTCAGAGTGTGATCCTGGGATCCTGGGATCGAGTCCTGCATCAGGCTTCTGGCAGGAACCTCCCTCTGCCTATGTCTCACTCTGCCTATGTCTCCGCCTCTCTGTCTCTGTGTCTCTCATGAATAAATAAATAAAATCTTTTTTTAAGAAAAAAAAAAGTCAAAATGTATCAATTAAGTTGTTTACTTGTATAATTTCAGAAGTCTATGAAACTGTAAAGTGATGTGTATCTATAAAGTGATACCATGATTACCTGACAGGTTTGTGGCATGTCAGTACAGCAGAGTTCCCTGGGGTACACTTCTTATAGTGGATTGGTGAACTCCTCTAAATTGCATGCAGAATTCTTGGGCACATGTACATGTAGGTATGGATATATAAAGTCCAACACTTTCATCAGATTTTCCAGGGAGTCCTTGATCCGAAAAGAATCATTAAAATCCAGTACTTTGCATTAAAAAAATCTCTTCCTAGTTAAAAAAAAAAAAATCCCTTACAATGAAATTTTCTTTGTGTCGTAGGAGGGAGCCTT